GGAGCACATGGAGGACTCAGGGATGGGGACATATCATCCCAGGGGCATCAGGAGCACATGGAGGACATCGCCGTGGGAATGGGGACATCACAACCCCTGGAGCACCGGGAGGACACCAGCATGGGGACACGGGCACCACCACTCCAGGTGAAGCACGGAGGGGACATGGGGTATCTGGAGCATGAGAGGACACCAGCATGGGGACAGGGACAGGGATGCCACCACCCTGGGGGCACCGGGAGGACATGAGGATGGGGACACCACCACTGCAGGGAGACCTGGAGCCCATGAGAGACACCAACGTGAGGATGTCAGTGGGGATGCCACCACCCGGGGGGCATCTGGAGCACACAGGGACAGGGACAGGGCCACCACGGCCACCTCGTACCTTGCACCACGAGGTTGACGACGCTGCTGGCGACGCCGAAGCGGTTGGAGGCCACGCAGTGGTAGGCGCCCTGGTTGCCCACGTGGGCGCCGGTGATGGAGATGACCGAGCCATTAGCGCTGACCTTCACGTTGTCTGGGCAAGGAGGGGCCATCAGCACCAGGGCCACGCTGGGTACCGTGCCAGGGCCACCCCGGGCACCACTATACCTTGGAAGTGCTGGCCAGGTCCCATCCGCCAGGTGACGTTGACGGGCCGGGCGCCGTCGTGGATGCGGCACTTGAAGGTGGCATCTTCCCCCGGTGCCACGGCCATGCTGTGCGGGTCGATGGAGATGATGGGGCTCTGCAGGCCTGTGGGGACAAAGGGACGGGGAAGCCACGAGGTCACGCATGTCACTCACACCCCCCACCATCCTCCCCCCCACCATGGCCGCACTCACGGTAGCTGGAGCTGTCCCGGGAGGTGACGGTGACGGTGACAGTGGCCTCGCGGGAGACACTGCCCGTGTCTGCCCGGCACACGTACTCCCCCGAGTCGGCCACCGAGAGCTGCGACAGCCGCAGGCGGGACCCCGACATCTGGGGACATCACAACACCAGGTGGTGGCATCAACCAGCCACCCACAGCCACCATTCCCCACCCCGCATGTGTCCCCTCCTACCTGGTGCTTGGCCGGGAGGGACCCCCCGCGCTTGTACCAGGTGATGGTGGCCTGTCCCTCCCCGGCCACCACGCAGTCCAGGTCCAGGGTCTGCCCCTCGGTGACAGAGGACGCCGAGGACTCGATGCGGATGGGCGGCGTGATGGCGGAGGCTGAATGGGAAGGGTTGGGGTGACTGTCCCCAGTGGTCCCCCACACGGGTGGGGACCCGTCCCCCAGAGGGTGGCACTCACAGTGGGATGGGTTGGCCCCGTCATCGATGGTGACGATGAGGGACGTCTCCTGGGTGACGCCCCCCGATGTCACCCGGCACACGTACTCGCCCGAGTCGGCCGCCGTCACCTGGGGGATGCGCAGGCGGCTGCCCGACACCTCGGGGGGACAATTTGGAGACAAGTCAGCACCATAGAGCAGGGGATGGGACAAAGTCAAGGTGACCTCCCTCTGTGCCCTACCTGGTGGCCGGCGGGCAGGGACCCCCCGCGCTTGTACCACGTCACGGTGGTGGGGCCGGACCCGGCCACCACACAGTTGAGGTCCAGGGTCTGTCCCTCAGCGATAGCCGAGGATGAGGACTCGATGTGGAGGGGCTGGGAGACACCAGAGGCTGGAGGGGACAGGGAAAGGGGACGTTTATCATCGAGGTGACACCCGACTGTCCCCAAGCGCTGCCCTCTCGCTCGCACTCACGGTAGTAGGTGCCGGCGCTGCTGGGCACAGTGACAATGACAGACGCCTCCTGTGTGACGCTGCCCAGGGTCACCCGGCACACGTACTCCCCTGAATCTGCCACTGCCACCTGGGCAAGGCGCAGGCGGGTCCCCGACACCTGGAGAGGTGACACGTTGGGGACACATCAATGCCTGTCACGGGGCTGTGCCCTGTGGGGTGATGCCACCTCCCCTGTGTCCTACCTGGCTGTTGGGGGGGAGAGCCCCCCCCGCGCCGGTACCAGGTGACGTGGGGGTGACCCTGTCCTGCCACCATGCAGTTGAGGTCCAGGGTCTGTCCCTCGGTGACGGCAGCAGACGAAGTCTCGATCCTCACCGGCGGCGTGACACCGACGCCTGGGGGTGGCAGTGGGGTCAGTGGGGGCACCACAGTGTCCCCGCTGTGTCCCCACTGTGTCCCCATGTCACCGCCCACCCCTGGTACCGTAAGAGGAGCCGGCGCCGGTCTGGATGGTGACGATGAGGGATGTCTCATGTGTGGCAGTGCCCGATGTCACCCGGCACACGTACTCCCCCGAGTCGGCCGCTGTCACCTGCGGGATCCGCAGGCGGGTACCCGACACCTGTAGGGGGATGACACAGGAGAGAATGGGGACACAAACCCCTCATCACCCCCAAAAATCCCTTTCCCACCCCCAAAATGCTCCTCAGTCCCCTACCTGGTGCTTGGCCGGGAGGGACCCCCCACGCTTGTACCAGGTGACAGTGGCCTGTCCATGCCCAGCCACGATGCAGTTGAGGTCCAGGGTCTGTCCCTCGGCCACGGAGGAGGACGAGGACTCGATGCGCACGGGGGGAGTGACACCAGCAGCTGGGGACAGAGACAGGATGGTCACCCCTGGCCCTGTGGCACTGTCCCCTGGCCCCTGTCACCTCCTGTCCCCACTCACGGTAGGTGCCGGCCCCGCTGGGCTGGATGGTCACCATGATGGAGATCTCCCTGGTGGTGGCCCCGCTGGTCACCCGGCACACGTACTCGCCCGAGTCGGCCGCCGTCACCTGCAGCAGCCGCAGTCGGGAGCCAGAAACCTGTGGGGAGGGGACACGGGGGTCACTGGGGCCACCTGGGCTTCCATGGGGCCATCTGGGATTGCACGAGGCCACTTGAGTCTGCACAGGGACACTCGGGCTTCCCTGGGCTACCTGGGCTTACACAGAGTCACCAGAGCTTGCATGGGATCACTTGGGCTTTCCTGAGCCACCTGGGCTTATATGGGGTCATCTGGGCTTCCATGGGCCCCCTGGACTTCCACAGGGTCATCTGGGCTTGCATGGGATTACTTGGGCTTCCATGGGGTCACTTGGGCTTCCATGGGGTCACTTGGGCTTCCATAGTCATGGGGCCACCTGGTCTTGCCCAGGGCCAGCTGACCTGGGGTCACCTGGGCTTGTGTGGGGCCACCTGAGTTTGCACAGAGCTGTGGGTCACCCCCATCCTCCCCCATTGGTGACATCCCCTCTGTGTCCCCTACCTGGTGCTTGGCCGGGAGGGTCCCCCCGCGCTTGTACCAGGTGACAGTGGCCTGGGCGGGGCTGGCGATGACACAGTTGAGGTCCAGAGTCTGTCCCTCGGTCACGGGGGACGACAGGGATGACGACTCGATGCGCAGGGGGGTCGTGCTGCCCGGGGCTGGGGACCGAGAAGGGTTAGAGATTGCATCCACCACCACATGTGACCCTCTAAGGGACACTGGGAGCCTGGGAATCCGGGATGGGCACCCGTAGGAATGTCTTCCCCAGGGAGCGATTCATCCCAGATCCCAGGACACTGCGGGGCAGTGACACCCACCCATGGGTAACCTCCCGTGTCCCCTGTCCCCACTCACGGTAGGCGCCGGCCCCGCTGGGCTGGATGGTCACCATGATGGAGGTCTCCCTGGTGGTGGCCCCGCTGGTCACCCGGCACACGTACTCGCCCGAGTCGGCCGCCGTCACCTGCAGCAGCCGCAGCCGGGAGCCAGAAACCTGTGGGGAGGGGACACGGGGGTCACTGGGGCCACCTGGGCTTCCACGGAGCTGCTGGGGCTTGTATGGGGCCATTTTGGCTTCCACGGGGCCATGTGGGCTTAAATGGGCCACCAGGACTCACATGAACCACCAGAGCTTGAATGGGGTCACCTGACCTTGCACGGGCTACTTGGACTCGCGTGGGCTTCATGTGCAACACAACCTTGTATGTGCCACCAGGGCTTGCAAGGGGTCGCTTGGTCTTGCCCAGGGCCACCTGACCTTGCATGGGCCACCAGGGCTTGGGTGGAGCTTCCAGATCTTGGATGGGGTCACTTGGACTTGCCCAGGGCCACCTGGACTCGCACGGAGCTGTGGGTCAACCTTATTCACCCCCTCGGTGACATCCCCCTCCGTGTCCCCTACCTGGTGCTTGGCCGGGAGGGTCCCCCCGCGCTTGTACCAGGTGACAGTGGCCTGGGCAGGGCCACTGGCGATGACACAGTTGAGGTCCAGAGTCTGTCCCTCGACCACGGCGGAGGACGGGGAGTCGATGCGCAGGGGGGTGGTGTTGCCTGGGGCTGGGGACCGAGACAGGAGGGTGACACCGGTGACACCAGTGACCACGGCAGGGCGTGTGAGCCATGGCTCGGTGCTGGGGCACACGGGGGCCCCCGCTGGCACTGCCGCCCCCCTGTTGTCCCCACTCACGGTAGGCGCCGGCCCCGCTGGGCTGGATGGTCACCATGACCGCGCTCTCCCTGGTGGTGGCCCCGCTGGTCACCCGGCACACGTACTCGCCCGAGTCGGCCGCCGTCACCTGCAGCAGCCGCAGCCGGGAGCCAGAAACCTGCGGGGAGGGGACACGGGGGTCACCGGGGCCACCTGGGCTTGCACAACCCTTGGAGGGGCAGAGCTGGGTGCTGCCACCACATAGTCCCCCCTTGGTGACACCCCCTTCACATCCCCTACCTGGTGCTTGGCCGGAAGGGTCCCCCCGCGCTTGTACCAGGTGACAGTGGCCTGTCCCTGCCCGGCCACCACGCAGTTGAGGTCCAGGGTCTGTCCCTCAGCCACGGTGGATGAGGACGCCTCGATCCGCACAGGGACACCCGAAGCTGGGGGTCCTGCGGGGGAGGACAGAGCTGTGACCACGCGTTGGAGACCAGCACGTCCCCCGTGGTGCCACTACACCTGGTCTCACCGTAGGACGAGCCGGCCGCGGCCACGACGGTGACGGTGACAGAGGCCTCGCGGACGGTGGTGCCCAGGCTGGCCCGGCACACGTACTCCCCTGAGTCAGCCGCCGTGACGTGGGGCACCCGGAGCCGGGACCCCGAGACCTGTGGTTGGGGACACGCACTAGTGTCACACGGCAGGGGAAAGGGCAAGATTTGGGGCGCTGCCCACCCTGCTGTGCCCCACCTGGTGCCCGGCGGGCAGGGAGCCCCCGCGCTTGTACCACACCACGGTGGCAGAGCCGGGCCCTGCCACCACACAGTCCAGGTCCAGGGTCTGCCCCTCGGTGACGGATGGGGACGAGGACTCGATGCGGACGGGTGGCGCCGTCCCTGTAGGAAGCAAACGGGGGCACACGGGTGGGTTGTGGCCCCCAAAACCAACCCCAAACCCCTCTGGTGTCCCCCACCCGCCTCACCTGGTACCACGGCCACCTCGATGGCGGCGCGGGCCGTGCCGGCAGCGCTGGTGCCCACGCAGAGGTAGACGCCGCCGTCGGCTGCCGTCACGGAAGGGATGACCAGCGTGGCGATGTCACCGTGCTCGGCGCGCGACTGCGGCACCAGGACCGGTGTGAGCAGCACTGCGGTGCACCCACACCCCCTCCAGCACCCAGGGGTGCCGTGCCCCACTCACCTGAGGTGGCAGGGTGCCCCCCTGCTTCTCCCAGGTGATGGTGGCCGTGGGGGACCCCGAGACCCGGCAGTAGAGCCGCACCGTGGAGCCCTCCTGCACCTCCGTCCGCTCCGGGCTCACCTGCACCTGGGGAGTGCCGGCGGCTGCGGGAACGGGGGGATCAGGGGGCTGCTGGGGGGGGGGAGAGGGGAGCATCGGGGGGTGGGGACAATGGGGGTGACATGAGCAAGGCAGACAATGAGGACGATGGGGACAATGGGATGATGGGGACAACAGGGGTGATGGGGACAATGGGGATGATGGGGACAATAGGGGAAATGGAGTGATGGGGATGATGGGGACAATGAGGGTGACATGAATGATGCAGATGATGAAGATCATGGGGCCAATGGGGGCAGTGGGGACAATGAGGATGATGGGGCCAATGGGGGCAGTGGGAACAATGGGAGCAATGGGGACAATGGGGGTGACATGGGTGATGCTGATGAAGAGGATGAAGTGGATGATGAGGGTCATGAGGGTGATGGGGGACAATGGCAGTGACAGAGATGATGGGCATGATGGGGATGATGGAGATGTTGGGGATGATGGAGACAATGGGAGCAGGGGGGACAGTGGGGGTAACGAGTGATGCAGCCAATGAAGAATGATGGGGGTGGGGTGGTGGGACAATGGGGGACAATGGAGGTGACAGAGATGATGGGGACAATGAGGATGATGGGGACAATGAGGATGATGGGGTCAATGGGATGATGGGGTCAATGGGAGCAATGGGGGAAATGTGGGTGACATGAGTGATGCAGGATGATGGGGATGACAGGATGGTGGGGATGGTGGGGTGATGGGGACGATGGGGGTGACAGGGATGGTGCAGAAGATGAGGATGATCAGGGTGATGGGGAGAATGGAATGATGGGGATGATGAGAGCGATGGGATGATGGAAATGAGGGGGCAGTGGAGGAAGAACGGGGCAGTGGGGACAATGGGGGATGATGGGCATGACAGGGATGATGGGGGATGATGGGGACAATGAGGGTGATGGGTATGAGTGGGAGGTGACAGAGATAATGATGGTGACAAGGACGATGGGGACAATGGGAATTATGAGATGATGGGATGATGGGGATGAGGGGGATGATGGGGGATAAAGGGGGTGATGAGGATAATAAAGTGTGACAGAGATGATGGTCACAGAGATGATGGGAATGAGGGGGATGGAAAATGGGAGGTGACAGGGATAATGATGAGGGTGATGGGAATGACGGGGATGACAGGGATGATGCAGACGACGGGGACAATGGAGATGGACAATGGGGAGCGACAGGGATGATGGGTGATGATGGGAGCAAGAGGGGTGACAGGGACGATAAGGACAACAGGAGTGATGAAGATGATGGGGATGATGGGGGTGATGGGGATGATGGAGATGATGGGAATGGGGATGATGGGGACAATGGGGAAAGTGGGGTTACAGGGGTGATGGAGATGATGGGGATGCAGGGGATGATGGGGATGGGGATGATGGAGATGATGGGAATGGGGACGATGGGGACGATGGGGACAATGGGGTGACAGGGATGATGGAGATGATGGGGATAATGGGGATGATGGGGATAGGGATGCTGGGGATGCTGGGGACAGCGGGGTGACAGGGATGCTGGAGATACTGGAGATGATGGGGACAGTGGGGTGACAGGGATGATGGAAATGTTGGGGATGGACAATGGGGACAACAGGGGTGGTGGGGACGAGGGCGACACCGCTCACCTTGCACGTGCAGGTACCCCCGTGCCGTGTGCTGCCCGGTGCTGCTGCGTGCCCGGCACTCGTAGTGCCCCTCGTCGGCGGGTTCCACGGCGCCGAACCGCAGCGTCCCGCCCTGCACCACGGCCTGTGGCGGCAGCGCTCCTGCGGGGACACGGCCGGCGTCACCCCCCCATCACCACGTCCCCACGCCCAGTGACAGTGTCCCCCTGTCCCCCGCGGGCACCTACCGAGCCACTCGAGGGTGGGCGCGGGGCTGCCGGTGCCCACGCAGCGGAACTCCGCCGGCTGCCCCGGTGCCACGCTCAGCTGCGCCGGCTCCACGCTGGCGGTGGGGGCGGTGGCGGTGCCGGCTGCGGTGACACCGGGGGGGGCTCAGGGCTCGCCGGGCCCCCCCCGGTGCTGGTGGGGCGGTGGGAAGCGGGGGCGGCGTGGCTGGGCTGGCAGCGGGGTGTGCGGTGGAGCCCCGGCATGCAGCGGGTGGGGGCAGCGTGTGGACCCCCCTGGGACACCCCCGCGGTGACTTACCCGGTCTGTGCCCCTCCATGAACTCAACGGGGCCGTAAAACATCTGAGTCTTCGAGGCTGCTGCAAGAGGGTGGGGGGTGTCAGGGGAGTGCGCCCGTCGCCCCTGGGTCTGGGCACCAAACCTGCCACCACCCCGGGGTCTGGGCACTGAACCTGCCCACCACCACGGTCTCAGGACCCACAGGTCCTCATTCCCATGGTCTCAGAACCCCCTGGTGCCCATCCCCATGGTCGCAGGACTCACAGGTCCCCATCCCCACGGCATCAGGACCTAGAGGTGCCCATTCCCATGGTCTTAGGACCCACAGGTGCCCGCTCCCCATCACCAGAGCTCATGGGTCCCCATCCCCGTGGTGTCAGGACCTGCCAGTGCCCCTCCCCATGGTCTTAGGACCCACAGATCCCCATCCCCGTGGTCTCAGGACCTACAAATCCCCATCCCCGTGATCTCAGGACCCCCTGTGCCCATCCCCATGGTCTCAGGACCCCCTGTGCCCACAGTGGCGGGGGGCTGACCCTGGACGTAGAGTGTGGCAGTGCCCTGGTCCATGTCCAGCATGTTGGAGCCGGTGCACACGTAGACCCCGGCGTCCTGGGGCCGCACCCCGCGCAGCGTCAGGATCCCGTTGAAGTCGACGGCGCCCGCGGGCAGCGTCCCGTGGTTCTGCCGCGTCCACACCAGGGTGTAGGCGGGAGACTGGTGGGGAGACACGTGGGCAGGCCTGAGGCCACGGGGACGGGCGTGCCAGGGGGGCACTCGGCCGTCTGGGAGAGGTGGGTACCCAGGGATGGCCAAAGAGCTACATGGGGATCAGAGGATGTCCCGGTGCCCTGGGTGTCCCTGTGGGTAAATCTCTGGGTATCCTACTCTGTGAGACCAGGTGGGCACCCAGGAGTGTTCCCATACCCTGGATGTCCCTATGGGCACCCAAGGGTGTCCCCATGCCCCGCATGACCCCATGCACATCTAGAGGTGTTCCTATGTCCTGGATGTCCCCATGGGCACCCGAGGGTGTCCCCATGCCCTGGATGTCCCCATGGGCAACCACAGGTGTATCTGTGCCCTCCATGACCTCATGGGCAACCACAGGTGTATCTGTGCCCTCCATGACCCCATGGGCCCCCAAGGGGTGTCACCTTAACCTGAATGACCCTGTGGGCACCCAGAGATGTCCCCATGGGCACCCAGAGGTGACCCTGTGCCCTGGATGTCCCTAAGGGCATGCAGGGGTGCCCCTGTGGCCACCATGGCTCTCTGTGCCCTGCATGTCCCCAGGAGCACCCAAGGCTGCTCACATGCCCTATGTGACCAGGTGGGCACCCAAGGGTGTCCCTGTGCACCCCAAATGTCCCCGTGGGCATCCAGAGAAGTCCTCATGCCCTGCATGTCCCCATGGTCACCCGAGGGTGTCCCCGTGCCCCCCGAGGGTGCCCTGCACCCCCCGCCGTGCTGGGTCCCCCCCGCCCTCACCTTGCTCTTGGCGGTGCAGACGAAGGTGACGTCGGCGCCCGGCTGCACCCGCTGCACCCGCTTCTCCTCCACGGTGACAGTGATGGGCTTGTCGGGGGTCTCTGCGCCCAGACACAGGGACAGCTGTGAGCCCACCCTGCCCCCCTCCACGCCCACCCCCCCGGGTGCCAGTGCCCTACCGGTGACGATGACCTCGGCGCGGCTGGCGTTGCTGTGCCGGAGGTTGCGGCAGGAGCACACGTAGACTCCGGCCTCCGAGGGCTGGATGCTGGGGAAGTGCAGCTCCTCGCCTGGGGCGACACGCAGGTGACACCCCGCACACCCCTCAGGGACACCCTGATGCCCACCCCCCTCCACCCTGAGCCGCCCCATACCTTGTCAACACTGACACCCCACAAACACCCCCTCTGCCTTGGGGGCACCCCAATGTCGCCCCCACCCCGAGCCACCCCATACCTTGCCGATGCAGACACCCCTCCCACACACCCCTTGGGGACACCCCGATGTCCCCCTGCCCCTTGAGCCACCCCATACCTTGTTGATAATGACACACCCCCCACACACCCCTGGGGGACACCCTGATGTGCCCCCACTCTGGGCCATCCCATACCTTGCCGGTGCTGACACCCCACATACACCATCCCCCCGGGGACACCCCAATTTCCCCCTCCACCCCAAACCACCCCATACCTTGCCTGCGCTGACACCCCCCAAACACACCCCTTGGGGACACCTCGGTGCCCTTCTCGCACCCCAAACCTTGCTGGTGCTGACGTACCCCCCACGCCCCTGGGGGACCCCCTGATGTCTCCCCCCTGCCCAGAACCCCCCCATACCTTGCTGGCACCGACACCCCCCCACACAGACCCTTTGAGGACACCTTGATGTCCCCTCACCCTGAGCCACCCCACACCTCACCAGCACTGACACACCCCACACACATCCCTTGGGGAAACCCCAATGTCCCCCCCCACCCCTTGAGCCACCCCACACCTCATCGACCCTGACATCCCCCCCGCTCCCCTTGTGGACACCCCAATGTCCCCTCACCCTGAGCCACCCCATACCTCATCGACACCAACATCCCCCCCTCTCCCCTTGAGGACACCCCAATGTCCCCCTGCTCCCCTTGAGGACACCCCAATGTCACCCCGCCTCTTGAGCCACCCCACACCTCACTGACACTGACACCCCCCTCACTGCCCTTGGGGACACCCAGGTGTCCCCCCGTACCTTGAGCCACCCCACACCTCATCGACAATGACACCTCCCCCCTGCTCCCCTAGGGGACACCCCAATGTCCCCCTGCCCCTTGAGCCACCCCACACCTCATCGACACCATCACCCCCCCTCTCCCCTTAGGACACCCCGGTGTCCCCCTGTACCTTGCCGGCGGCTCTGGGCGCCCTCGGGGAGGGCTCTGCCGTCCTCCCGGCCCCAGTGGTAGTAGAGGGGGGGCTCCCCGCTGGCCTGGCACCGCAGGGTGACCGCGCTGCCCCTTGGCACCGCCGTGCGCGGGGGGTGCACCCGCACGGCCAGCGCGGGCGGGGGGCCCGCGGGGACACAGCCCTGCCCACGCACCGTGGGGTCACCCCGGAACCCGGGGGCACAGCTGCGGGAGCGGGGACGGGGTTATATGGGAGCCTTGGGGGATTGCGGTACAAGGGGTGGGGGGGCAGGGGGTGCATGGGGTGAGAGTACTGGGGTACAGGGGGTGGGTAGTTGGGGTGGGCATATTGGGGTGTATATGGGGGTGAGCACATTGGGGTACAGGGGGTGGGAATATTGGGGTGGGTATATTGGGGTATACATGGGGGTGAGCATATTTTAGGCATGTGGGGTGGGTATATTGGGGTGGGTGTATTGGGGTGGGCGTATTGGGGTGTATATGGGGCTGAGCACATTGGGGTACAGGGGTGGGTATATTGGGGTATACATGGGGGTGAGCATATTTTAGGTACGTGGGGTGGGTATACTGGGGTGGGTGTATTGGGGTGGGGATGCTGGGGTGTATGTGGGGGTCACCATATTGGGGTATATGGGGTGGGTATATTGGGGTATACATGGAGATGAGCATATTTTAGGCACAGGGGGTGGGTATACTGGGGTGGGGGTATTTGGGGGTATATGGGGGTGAGCGCATTGGGGCACACTGGGCGGGTATATTGGGGTGAGCCCATCGGGGTGGGTATATAGGGTGAGCATATTGGGGTACGGGGTGGGTATACTGGGGTATACAGGGGGGTGAGCATATTTTAGGCACGTGGTGTGGTTGTACTGGGATGGGTGTATTGCGGGCTATATGGGGGTGGGTATATTGGGGTACATGGGGTGAGTATACTGGGGTGGGTGTATTGGGGCGGGGATGCTGGGGTGTATGTGGGGGTCACCATATTGGGGTATATGGGGTGGGTATATTGGGGTATACATGGAGATGAGCATATTTTAGGCACAGGGGGTGGGTATACTGGGGTGGGGGTATTTGGGGGTATATGGGGGTGAGCGCATTGGGGCACACTGGGCGGGTATATTGGGGTGAGCTCATCGGGGTGGGTATATAGGGTGAGCATATTGGGGTACAGGGGTGGGTATATTGGGGTATACATGGGGGTGAGTATATTTTAGGCATGTGGGGTGGGTATATTGGGGTGGGTGTATTGGGGCAGGGATGCTGGGGTGTATATGGGGGTGAGCACATTGGGGTACAGGGGGTGGGTATATTGGGGTGGGTGTATCGGGGTGGGGATGCTGGGGTGGGAGTATTGGGGTGTATATGGGGGTGAGCACATTGGGGCACAGTGAGTGGGTATATTGGGGTGAGCCCATCGGGGTGGGTATATAGGGTGAGCATATTGGGGTGCATATATTAGGGTGAACCTATTGGGGTGGGTAAGCTGGGGTGGGGATATTGGGGTGCATCTATTTGAGTGAGCACATCAGGGTGGGTATATTGGGGTGCACACATGGGGTGAGCACATTGGGGTGACTCTATGGGTGAGTGTGTACTGGGGAGTGTATGTAGGGTGAGTATATTGGGGTGAGCCATCAGGGTGGGTATATTGGGGTGGGTGTATCGGGGTGGGTGTATCACAGTGGGTATATCGGGGTGACAGTATCAAGGCGGGTATAGGGGTGAGCACTTGGGGTGGGTATATTGGGGTGGGTATAAAGAGGGGGAGATTTTGGGGTGGGTCTGTTAGGGGAAGTCCATCAGAGTGACTGTATTGGGGTGGGTATGTCAGGGTGAGCACTTTGGGGTGGGTGTACTGGGTATATTGGGGTGCATCAATTGGGGTGAGCACATTGGGGTGCGTGCATCAGGGTGAGGGCATGGATCCTCAACAAGATGCACTTATTGGGGTGAGCTTATGGGGTGAGCTCATCAGGAAAGGTGTGTTGGGGTGAGCACTTTGGGGCGGGTGCATTGGGGTGAGCACTTTGGGGTGGGTTTTAGGGGTGGGAATATGGGGGTGAGCTCATGGGGGTGGGTTTGGGGTGGGTACATCAGGGTGATCCAATCGGGGGGGGTTTGGGTGGGTATATGGGGCTGAACCCATGGGGGTGGGTATATAGGGGTGTGTATATGGGGGTGAGCCCATGGGGGGGAGGGTTGGGGGTGGGTATAAGGGGGTGAGTCCATGATGGTGGGTTTTTAGGGTGGATTTTGGAGCTGAGCCCCTGGGGATGGGTGTGGGGGTGGCTATATGAGGTGAGCCCATGGGGGTGCATATATGGGGGTGGGGTTTTGGGGTGGGTACGCTGGGGTGAGCCCATGATGGTGGGTACGTGGGGGTGAGCCCATAGGGGTGAGTTTGGCGTTGGGTTTTGGGGTGGGTATGTTGGGGTGACCCCATAGGGGTGGGTATATGGGGGTGGGTTTATGGGAGTGAGCCCATGGGGGTGAGTCCATGGGGGTGGGTTTGGTGTTGGGTTTTTGGGGTGGGTATGTTGGGGTGACCCCATTGGAATGGGTTAGGGTTAGGGTTAGGGTTTTTTTTTTGGGGGGTGAGTATATGGGAGTGAGCCCATGGGGGTGGGTTTTGGGGGTGGAAATGTTGGGGTGAGCCCATGGGGGTGGGTTTTGGGGGTGGGTATATGGGAGTGAGCCCATGAGGGTGGGGATATGGGGGTGACATCATGGGGGTGGGTTTGGTGTTGGGTTTTTGGGGTGGGTATGTTGGGGTGACCCCATAGGAGTGGGTATATGGGGG